GATGTCATCATGACCATATTTAGGCATGTCACATGTTTTTGTCAAATAAAATTTGTTAGTCTGACTGGGTTTTACATTATGATGCTGGGCATAAAAATGAAAACATCATCATTCATAACCAAGAAAATCCTCAAAAAATAATTCAAACATTGATCAAAATTGAAAATAATTAATTAATAATGAAAACATCAACAACGAAATAACATATAATTGATATAAAATGAAATAATAATAAATATAAACTGTGAAAAGGTTAAATGTTGTACAACCTCCCATTCAACCCAAGTACACGCTTGGTTGCTGCATCGAAAAAAAGACAGAAGCAGTCGCCTCCAATACCGGTAGAACATGGTTCGGTTACGTTGAGGGCGGCAGCAACAGCCACTGCAGCATCAGCAGCATTGCCTCCAGCTTTTAATATATCTATAAACAATAATATCAAAAATTAAAAAAATAAAAGTTAATAAAAAAAAAACGTGTGTAAAATCAAAGATGAATTAATTTTTAGACTAATAGTCATTTTTCTTCTACCTTTATTTACTTGTTGGCACAATAATAAATAAAATGAAAAGAAATTAAAAATGAATATTTCTCCTTAAACCTTTATTTAATTAAAAGACATAGGAAAAATAGAATACAAATTTAAAATGTGGGCTCCTGCTCCTTATTCTTAATCTTATATGTATGCCCACTGCTTTCTATTCAATGTGATAATTAGATTATAGAAAAATTGTTTTTTTGGCTTAAAGTTAAAGTGCTTCAGATGAATACTAAAGGTGTTTTCGCATCAGACCTGTTTTTTTTTTTCACATGCCAATAGGCATGTGGAACTTCATGAACAAATCAAACGGAGCTCACGATAGAGGCAAGCATGCAGATCCTGAGGCCGAGTAGGTAGGTAGGCCCTGCCTGAAGATAGATATGCCTAGTGCCTAGGCCTACGACGACCGAATAATGTAAATGCAATGTTAGATAGGAAGGGAAGAGAAAGGAATGAACTTATTATTAATATTATACCAATTCCAATTTGCGACGCGAGTGGTTGAGTTGATGCCACACTACCGTTAGTAGAAATAACAGGTGATCGACGAGAACTAAATGTTTCCATGTTTATTACTTAAAACCGAGTGTTTTTTTACTGGCCTGGATGAGGGCAGCATACTCAGTGGAAAAAATATGTACCGTTTATTCGAATAAACGCCCCAGGGTGTTTATTGTTGAGGAAAGTGTTTGGGGGCGTTTATTCGAGAGAGGCATTTTGTGTGTGTGTGTGTGTGTGTGGGTGTGTGTGTGTGTGTGTGTGTGAAATGGATACATTACATATACAGGTATACCCAAATATTATTATTTATTAAATTATTTCACTGTAAATGTGGAACTTCAACACAATTACCAGTACCGTCAAAATATGTTATGGATTGCTTGATCATAAATAGACTTACTGATATCAACAAGGTTAGGCGAGACTTTTTTTTATACCTTGTTTAGAGAACCCGCGACTGCAGATATTGATGATTTCGAATAAAAATACAATTTTATGTTTTGCTAATTAGCGCACCCGCCACCACGAAAAAGTGGAAATTTACAAAAAATAATTAAAGTTTTTCTTATTTTTATTACACCCTCAGCTGACTTTAAAAAAACCCAAAGATAAGATATGTATATATTTCTTCCTAATTATATAAATTTGAAGCATTTAACCATCCTATTTTACATTCACCAATACAATTTTATTTTTATTTTCTCCTCCGTCTGGACGGTTTTTGGCAAAATTATTTGCTAAATAAGAACAACAACGATTATCATTATATTTTAGTATGTCCTTGTCTTAAAAATATATATATTATTTTATTTTTTATTTTTTAAATTATTAATTTGTAAAATTAGAAACAAGCATATTATCAAATTTAGGCCTAGTTATTTTTCGTTCATAAGTAATTGTACTTTGTTAGGGGTCATTCAAGTATTATGTAACGCAGAGGGGAGTGGGGGTATAGTGGAAAATGTTACAGTGTGGGGGGGTGTTGCTTGAAGTGTTACATAACAAAATTAATTTTCATGGGAAGAGAAGAAATATTAAATATTCAAACTTGTATGATATTAATTTATTGAAACATTTACATCAGTGTAATACAATGTAATGTAACACAGTTGTGTTGAATTTGTGAAATCAATAAACAATGAAGTTACATCTACCATATCAAAAAATAACAATTTCCAAGAGCTATGATGTGCTGCAATCTATATGTTATTAGAGCAAACCATATTTGATAACAAATTTGTAGTGTAGGACAAATTTGTAGATTACATTTATCCTGAATGTGTATAAGAGACAGAATTTGTAGTGGAGGACATTTATCCTGATACTTAATGTTGTTCATCTGATTTTAGAGTTACATAACATTTAGAGGGGGTTTGGAAAAGTGTTCCAGAGTGTTACGGGGAGGTGGGGGGTGTCAATATTTGCCAAAAAATGTGTTACATAATACTTGAATGACCCCTTAGCGCATTACGTTTTTGTATTTTTCGTTATGGGCTGGAGGACTTTGCAAGATCAACGAACATAGAACATTTAAAGAATAGGCTATGTTGCTTCCATTAATTTTTAGTCATTTAGGGGAGGGGCGTTTATTCAAGGGCAAAATATCGTTGATCTCGTCTTGTCGTTTAATATTGATAATAGAAAGACATATCGCATTGAACTCCAGTGGCGGTGCTACAGGAGAATTTTCCCCCAGGTAATTTTCTTGCCTCCCCTCCCCCGCAACCCAAAGAAAGAAGAAAAAGAAATGAAATGTAGGGCTATTTTCTACATATTAGTAGAGTATCTATCTATAAAACCGATTAAATACGCTTCTGATCCCTTAAATTGACATTTTTTTCGGCCGAAGTTTCGCCCTGGGCCACTTTTGAGACATTTGAGCGACGCCCAACCACGCCCACCTCGGGCCACCCCAGCATATTCCGCCCACCTCCAGATTTCAGATGCTGGTGCCTCCACTGTGCGTGTACTTCTAATACTAGTATTGTTTCTGCATACTGTATGAGTGCGAAATCCTGGGTTTGAATCCCATTTGGAGAATTTTGTTCGCCCTCGTAGATTCCTCTTCATTACCGTTTATAATTTATTGTATAAATTATTATATATAGAGAAATTGTAGGTCAAAGAGGAAAGTTTGAGAACAAAGGATGTACACATGAACAGGCTAGACAGACTGTCCTTGAATCGAGTGAAGAACAGAAAATAACAGAGTTAAACTACTACAGTAGATAAATAATATTATAATTTTATTCAAACACTATCTTTTATATTATACACTACTTATTACATTTTCAAAATTTATTTTCCAAATGTCTTAATAATTTTAGTATATACAATATATACAAAATCTTACACTTGTTAGACTGAAACATACAAGACCTGAAACGTCATCAGAATCGATGAAGCTGATTGGATAATGAGACTAGAAAATGAACAACTTGATAGTTTCTAATAAGCCAATTCGTAGTTAGAACTGCGCATGCACACTCAAGATGGTTTGTGTCAATTGACCTCGATTGACCTTGCATAGGAGCATGCGCAGTTCTAACTACGAATTGGCTTATTTAATAACTTCAATCAATGAACTATCAATGGACTTTTCCACCAGTGGCTCCCCAGGTCCAGAGGGACATAGGATCTCAACAGGGAATAATACTTTAAAAAAACCCAACAACATTGCCATTTCCATGCATTTAGAGGTGCATCTTTAAATCTGCTCCATGCAATGTGTGGCTCAGCTGGATTTGGACCCTCGTTGAGAAACTATCAAACCCCAGAATCTTAAGTAATGCAGCAGCTTAACAAAATATTAGTCACTATAGTGATAAAACAACACATAGTTTAAAAAGCACATACACTACAGTACTGATATTTATTTCATGTATGATTGTCATCTCATGAATTAGCAATGTCTTTAAAAAATGAAATACAACAAAAACAATTTTATAAAAAGATGAATATAGGAATTAAAATTGGTTTATGACTTAAAAAATATTTTTATTGAAAACTCATGTTTCAAACATTTATAGAATGTTATAGAATATACAGTAGAATATTTATTTTTAATAAATAATACTGTCCAAGAAATATTCATTTTATACCACAATGGTAATGTAAATAAATTTAAGTTCAACAACTTTGGTCATATGAAGTAAAACACTGTCCAAAAATAAGCAATTTCATCCACTTCCAGAGCCCTCCTTTTTGGATCTTGACAGACGAAAGACCCAACAGGGATACATGTGTCTGTATTTTATAGGAAAGACATTTGTCACCAGCTCTGGCAAAACCATCAATTTGTTGGAAAAATTTAACATCATGTTTTTTGTATTTTTTAGATTCTGCATGAATTCTACTGGTTGACGATTTGGAAAGTTATGAATAAATTAATTGGATATCAACCAAGTAGGGTTTGAGAAAAAAGCTTTAAAAAATTCCAAATAAATAAATAGTTTATTACTGTATTAAGATTTATGTATTTTAAAAATACTTTTAATATACTTTTCAGTTAGATTTTAGTGATTGATATTTTGCAGAAATGTTCTTAAGTATCTTCTTTTATGAAATGCAAAAACCTGAAAATGTTACTTGTGATTCTTCTACGTTTTTGATGATTGTGCAAAATTAGAAATTGCCAGAGCCAGTCACATTTGTCTTGTACATATTTAATATTCACTGCACAAACATATTGTACACTTTGACAGTTAAGTTCCTGCTACTCGTTGGCACATATTCTCATGCAATCATTGGCTAAAGTTTTCTGTCGCATGTCCATGAGGGCACCATACAATCTACCTTTCGTACACTTATCTGTGTATTCATTCTTCCATTTTAACATCATCTGAGTTGACCGGTCTTCTTTTGATGAGTTTTCACTCTCAACATTCTTGATGTCGTTTTCTATTTGGTCGTCGTCTCTTACCAAACGGGCTAGCTTCTTCCAGTGCATTTGCGTCTGAGTAGCAAGGCGATAGATTTGGCGATGGGTGAGCTCTTCCGTGCTTTGGCGTAACAGCTGCTCGTTGAACATTGAAGGCATAGGGGTATTTGACTAAAAGAAAAAGTAATAAAAGCATTGGTTATAACTTGGACACATAAAATATATAAACAAAAAACAATGTACTGTACCCTAATATTTTGAAAACTATTGTCTGTCAACTGAATGTCAATTTGCCTGTATGTTAGTTTACTATACAAAATACTTTATATGGTGTCTGCATGAGTACCCATGATGATGCTTTCATTATGTTTGGTTTGGTTTTTTTAAAGCAAACATTGCACTGCGTAGCAACCCCCGACGCAATCTGGAGCACTCCAAATTCAACTGACCAATCAGCATTGCCAAAAGAGTCGGCAAGAGCGTGTGTAGTGATTTTTTATGGAAACCAGAGTTTGGCGCTGTGCACTTTCTTGTGACCAGGGAAAAAGAAAGGACTTAGTAACATAAATGAATATGTGTCTGACTTACAGTTGATGAAGATGAGGGTACACTTGCATAATATGATGATGTGTTTGGGGCATTTCCTCGTGTTGGAGATGGCATGCATGACATCCGTGCACTTGTCTGACTTCCCACCACTGCCACATTCGCTGTCAGATTTGAGATAGTTGCCATTGGTGGTGAGGACCGAGAGAATGATGGCAGGTACGACAGTGGAAATGTTGTATACGATGGTGAGCGCGATGGTGAGCGTGGTGGAGTCCTCGGAGGAGTGCCGTCAGGTGGGCTAATCTGAAGGTTTTCCAGAAGTTCTTCACTTGATTCCTGTCGATAACATATTCGTTTTTTAGCATGGTGACTACTGACTGCTGCTTCACAAGTAGGATGAGAACGCTTCCTGGACGATGTTGTTTGCAATCCACTAGTTCCCGCTAAAGTAGAAATGCATTTCACAGTTATTCTTATTTATATTTTACTTTATTTGTTTTTTACAGGAGACTTTTTTAAAGCTTATTTCGCGAGGAGGGTGGAAGAAAAATAAAATAAAATTTTCTTTTCTTTTTTAGTAAATAGTTTTGCCAAAAAAAATCCAGATGGAGGAGAAAATAAAAATAGAATGTTATTGGTGAATATAAACAGTGTAGCAATGGGATGGTAAAATGCTTTAAATTTATATAATTTGGAAGAAAAATATATATCTTATTTTTTGATATTTCAAGGCAGCGGCGAGCATAATAAAAATAAAGAAAAACTTTAATTTTTTTTTTTTATTTCCATGTTTTCATGACGCCGGTTGCACAAATTGGCCAAAAAATTTAATTTCATTTCTATTCGAAATCATCATTATTGTTAAGAGGTGTGTTCGCAAAACAAGGTATAAAAGAATTCTTGCCCTGGCTTCCTAGTAACTCTGGACTAGTGATGATATGTGTGCACAAAAACCTAATCATCAGTGATTTACCATTTATAAACAACTCTGAGCATTCTGGGCTTAAAGATGCAGTTTCAGGCATAAAATTTATATACTTTAAAATCTACTTACGTTGGTCTTCATTTAGTGATGTGCTAGACCTTGCAGGGGAGCTTGAGACAGAGCTAGACTGGGATCGATTGAAAAAAGATGGCCACCAGCTGGACGATGAAGGAGTTTCACTCTCTCCAAGACGCAGCTTTCTTCCTACGTCATTTAATGTCTTGGAGAATAGGGCGAGTGTTCCTCCACGTTTCTTGTATGATGTCACCAATTTACTAAAAGGTTCTGCTGATTGACCGAACTTGAAAATTTCTTGTTCTGTGAAACCTAACTCACGGCTGAAGAGCTTCCAGTTATCCTCACTCAATATACCATGCATTTCTAATGAAGACAAAAAGAATTTTAATTAAAGATAATAAATCCTGTGTTCTGTAAAGGTCTGTCCAGATTATCAAATTTTCTACGACAAGAAACTGGCAGATCCAAAGATTTCTGGAAGATGGGCCGAAAATGGGACCGCTTGAGTGAAATTTTTGTGTTCTAGATGCCCTAAAATAACCTCTAAGCCGAGATGTGTATAAGAGACAGGTCAACTGAATGTCAATTTGCCTGTATGTTAGTTTATGCCCATATATAGTCAAGATGTGCCTATATATGGTCATGATGTGATGTCATCATGACCATATTTAGGAATGTCACATGTTTTTGTCAAATAATATTGGATAGTCTTGACAGTGACTAATTCAGTTAAATTCACTGCTCAGAAAATTACAAAATTTAATAATATAACACTATTACTGGTATTTTCACTATATTGTAGCTGCTAATTGGCAAAAAAAATATTATTTAAACCATTTAAATATTCATTTAAGTAAGCCATTTAAGAATTCTAATGGTCAGTTTATCAAATTACATGTTAATAGGAAGAAATCTTTGCACAAGTTAAAGAATAATGACAATTTTCACACACAACTTTAAGAATGTGCTTAACTCACCAGCAAGCTCTTTGAGGGGCTGCAGTAACCAGGGATCTTGGCTTGACTGGTCTGGTTCATCGGAGCTCTACAAATACAAAAAACAAATAAATAATTTAGAATTAATTTATAATGTAATAATCATAATATACCTTCACAATTTATATCAATCTGATAATTGAACAACTATCCAAAACATATCATGTGAGAAAAACACCAAGTTATAAGAAGAACACTTTAAGAAACAAATAATGCTAACCTTTATAAGGTTAAACTGAAATAGAGATACTTCTGATCCATCCTCTTTCTTCTGACTCACAAACACTTTGCCGAACACCCCCCTCGTCAGTCTAGCACCTTTAAATTTGAGAGCAAACTGTTTTTCAAAGTCATTGCCCCGAAATTTGTTCTCGACCTGAATGAGGGATGCATCTTCTCCTGCTCCTGTGTCCGCTTCAAAGTAATCGGACTTCGCCAGACGCACTTCTATGTTACCCCCTGGAGGAAGCAAGAATAATAATGCAACATAAGAAAAGTTACTCTAAATGGCTAAGGCATGCTTAAATGAACAACTGTAAATGTTTGTGAGGACCTGAAATACATGTACTAAATATATTCTACACTAAGAACTGTACATAAAGTTAAAACCACAAATAGTAATAAAATCTTTTAATGGGAGATTTTAAAAAACATCAAAAAAATTTTTAAAAATATGTAATTTTTTAATGTGGGTTTTCAAGTTTTTTTTTCATGCACTATAAAATGTTAAATTATTAAATGTATTTTTGTTGACACTGCTGGAGTTGTTAAAAATCTGTTACCTGGTTCTATTTTAACTGGTTTTATACTGCCACCAATATGACGGGCATAACTTCCAAAGTCTTGAAGAGTGTTCGAGGCATTGTGGCAGACGACAAGCAGTGCAAATTTATCATCTGAGTCAGTGTCTTCTACCGGCATGAATGCCTGACACTTCATGCTGACCTCGCGATTCCGGTATAAAAATGACAACCCAAGTCCACTTCGGTTTAACTGTGAGACAATACCTTTCCAGAATCCTCCAAAGCCCGTAAAATGAGATGCTGAAAAAACGACATTGTACATGCCATTCTTGTAGATGATGGTGTAGTCAACATCAAGTTGACACCATTTTGATGTCTCAGTTTCCAATGTTTCAGTTGACCAAATTGTCAACTCAGCTTTAGATCCTAAAGCTTGACAAATCTCAGTGTAATGCGGCAATGGTAACCTTACGGTCACTGGATCTGATGCATCACATCGAAATTTACATCCATGTGGTCCCACAAAAATAATCGGTGTAGCTGGTGCATCGTCACGATTTAAGCCACTTCTCAAATGATGAGGTAGATTGGAGAAGTACATATTGGCAGTGGCTGTCATGTCTTTCACAAGACAACCCTTTGGAAAATGAATACTGAAGGACGGAATCTCTGGGATCTCTAGACATCCTCCATCTTTGATTGTCACAAATTGTGACACATGTATTGCTTGGTCTTTTACCAAAACCGTAAATAACGAAAAATGACTGGCTTTGATCTCGACATAGTCACTGAATACTTTATAGTCTGTCACCGGCATCTGTATCCAGATAGGATCCTCTTCTTCCTCAGTGTCACTACACATACAAACCACATTATCTTTACAGACACTCCGTACAAACAACGGCAGTTTTAACCTGGCTGGTTTATAAGGATAAAACTTTGTCTGATGTGGCATAAGTGCTACAATGTAACTAGCCAAGGAGGTGTGATCATCAACCTCAGGCCGATACCGAGCATCCGATAATATTCTCATTGAGAACTGAGTGTGCATGTGATGATTCTGATTATGCTCTGGGATTATGACGGCAACACTGCGATAAAGAATGAATTTAGATCTATCATCTAAACGCCCTTCGTAATAAACATCATCCTCTAAGAATGGTTCTTTAGACAGTGGTTGAGAACAAATATCACAAATATCGCTGTCATAATCTTCGAGCTCACAGTATACATCACCAGCCTCACTGCCATGATCACCAATGCAACTGTTACAATCATTTTCATTTATTACAAAATTTGAACTCTGGTTCTCCTGGCTTGATCCCGAGCACGAGACATAATCACTAGTAATAATTGTATTAGGATCCCAACCTGCAGGATCTGGCTTGCTTTGAACCAGCGGATATGAATTAGATACTGACTCCGTTTTCCGGAGTCTCACATATTTCAACTCCTCGCAAAGGTTTTGGAAAGTTATTGATTCACGTTCACAAACAAATGAGTTTTTAAGTTTAATATCAAAATATTTCCGGATTGCCTGCAATCCATCTATGTACACATCCCGTGGGATATTTTGGATCGGGTTCCTTGTTACATGGAATGCTTTCAGTCTTGGAAGCAATAAAATTTCTTTTGGTAAAACATTAAGTAAATTTCCAGAGAAATTCACAACTTCAAGTTTTGTTAGATAGTTAAAAGCCGATGGCAGTTTGTTGATGTGATTTTGGGCGACATTAAGGACCGTCAAGTCGGGAAAATGTTTGATCCCATCCGACAGGTGAACAAGTCGATTGTTTTGAGCAAACAGGCGCTGAAGACGGACCAATGAAAACAGGCACTCTGGCAACGCTTGAAAGTTGTTGTGACTGATATCTAGTGATGTCACATGTCCTGGACAAAGGCGGTGCCATGCTGGTAATGTTTTTAGATGAAGAGAACTTAACTGCAACTTCTTCTCTTTCGTCCTTAAACTGTGTTTTGTCTTCGACTGGATTTTCTTTAACTGCCACAAATCTGGCATGTCATTTGCAACCTAAAAAATGTGATGAAAAAACAATTATCATTAAATTAAATATTTCCATCAAAACAACAATCAACTAAATTAATTTAGCAGAAACTATTTACTAATGTACCACATATGCAGATCATTTCAGAATTGTACATTTGTATCATTTTGTAGGGTTAATACTTACATGAAATAAAAGAGCAGTAAAAATTTAGTAGACACTTGTGAACTATAGGCCTAGAATAAGTCTAAAAATATGCAATTTGTTTGTTAACTAGATCTACTCACTCTAACTACAGTACTGTATATCAACAATAAATGTACAGTATTAAAAATGC